CTCTGACTCCCGAGTCTTTATTGATAGATACAGTGATAGGGACTTAGTTAAAAATACATTTGGTAGTAGCGGCAAAGCTGGTGCCAGCAGGACTGGAAATCCCACCATGCCACGGTCTGACCAGCAGGATGCTAACTGCAGGGCTGTGGGGCCACAGATGGTGGTTAAAATATAAGGAGATTCAGATGTAGCCATTTACCCAATGGAAAGACAACAGGAGGTGAACACTAAGGCAGGGTTTTTTTTTTTTAAGGTTAACCCACTATAGTCTCAGATCACTGGCTTTCTGAATAAGTACAACCTAACAATATTTAGATTCCTTTCTATAGTACAGAGCACAGCCATGTCCTTACAATATAGACTATGACATGGACCAGCAAGATGGCTTAGTACGTGCTGCCAAGTCACACAACCTGTGTTCAGTTCTCAACCAACTCGTGAACGTTGTCTTCTGACCGTCACATTGACTAGCTATGGCACAGGCGTGCCCTCTGTACCCGTGCACACAGCTAAATAAACAAAGGAGGGGGCGACTCTTTGTGTTGAGAGATGGCTCAGCGATTAAGAGCACTTCCTGTTCTTGTAGAAGAGCCAAGCTCCCGCACCAGGCGTGGACCACAGCAACACTGGCTCCAGTTCCAGGGCGCTCGATGCCCTCTGACCTCTGAAGCTCACATGGACACACACATGCACGTGAAATTGAAAATTAAATAAATCTTTAAAAATAAAATAAGAAAGTGACCCTCACCATTATTCTCACCTAATCAGTCTGAAGTTAGGACCAAGGGCAGCCCGCACCAGCCCCCACCCCCCCACACTCTCCCACAGTGTCCTCTGGCTTGGAGGATGTTTTGTCTCCAACAGTTTTTTAAAAATTATTTTATGTATTTTATGTATATGAGTGTTTTGCCATCGTGTATGTATGTACATTGTGTGCATGCCTGGTAGTCACAGAAGCCAGAAGGGGCATCAGCTCCTCTGGCACTGAAATTACAGATGGTTATGAGTCGCCATTTGAGTGCTCTGAATCAATCGCTCAATGCTTGGTCCATGAGCCAGATCTCTAGCCCTTCAAAGATCTGTTTTTAGCAGCCCTCGAGGTCGGCTCCTGGGCTCCATATGGAGCTGGGAGAGCAGAGGTGAAGGATGTTCGAACATGCAGGAAGAGAGCACGGAGGACAAGCCACAGACCCAACGCTCCTTGGATATCAATAAGCATTCGGGGACATCTCCTGTAATCCCCGGAAAGGACAACCATAAATAGCATGCCTGCTCATATGATTCATTTCTTTAAATTATAATATAATACCCCAGCGGTTCTAGGGAGAAGAAATGAAAAAGAAAACAATTTATTACCAAGCAGCACATATTTCAATATGTCAGGGGCCAGGCCCTGCGGCCCTAGAAAACATAGCGAAAAGTGCCAAGCGCTTGCCCCACTTATAACGATAAGTTAGGCACAGGAAGTGAGAACGGGAAAGCACGCAGAAACGCACTATGAAAAGTTAAAGTAGATATTACCTTGTGGACAGCGTCTGCGTGTTTTTCATGCTGCAACAACTACTTGGTTGGATGATCTGTACAGAAGGGAATTCGTATTCCCAGCTGAGGTCTGTAGGGTCCGTGCTGGTAAATAGCAACCTTATTCAGCCGGTCAACCGCTGTGGGATCAAGAATGTGTGCCCTCGTGCTAAGGCGATGGCTCGATGCATAAAGGCTCTTACAGTCAAACACGACAACCTGCGGAATATCCCATGAGCCCCCAGGGTGGAAGGAGAAAAGTGAATCCTGCAAGCTGTCCTCTGCCTTCGACAGCATGCCATAACCTGCGAGTGCTCACGTACACATATACACAAAAAATAAAGAGGCTAGTCGGGCGGTGGTGGGGCGCGCCTTTAATCCCTGCACTCGGGAGGCAGAGGCAGGTGGATTTCTGTGAGTTTGAGGCCAACCTGGTCTACAGAGTGAGTTCCAGGACAGGCTCCAAAGCTACACAGAGAAATCCCATCTCGGGGAGAAAAAAAAAGCAATAAATAAGTAAATAATTAAGCGTAATCTTTATGCCCTCTGTTACCAGAGCTACAAGAACAAACTGCCCTCCCACAACCATCCAGTTAATGCTTTAACTGCTACAACCCTCCTCGCCTTCCCTTTTTTCTTACAATATTATATAAACATTTGCTTAGACTCCATACGAACTTTGCAAGACAGTTATTTTGGAAAATGGTTCAGAGCTCCCTCTAGTGTGAGTGTTTGTTCTGGTCCCTTGAAGGATTATGCACGTCTGCGAAGAGGAAACAAGTCACTGATCCACTTTTGTAAGCGCCCAGCAAGACAAAGCTGCGCCCAGCAAGACAAAGCTGCGGTTCTGGGGACACACCTTTGCAGGGCGGCTGGCCCAAGGCTCCATCCAGTTTAGCTCAGCTCAGCTTAGCCCTGCCTGCACCGCCTCCCGGTGGCCAATGGAGGTACTGCGTCCCGGATAAGTAGTGTGGGGCGGGGATGCTGGTCCCAAGCGCTATCCAATTAGTCATTAAAAGTTGTACCACTGGGGTTAAGAGCACTGACTACTCTTCCAGAGGACCCGGGTTCAATTCCCAGCAACCACATGGCAGCTCACAACTGTCTGTAATACTAGTTCCAGGAGACCCAACACTTGTGGCAAAACACCAATGTACGTAAAATATAAATAAATAAATATTTTTTAAAAAACTGCCAGTAGAACTAACTGGGTCACCAACCCAACCACAAAACCTTCCATCCATCCTGCCTGCTAGAGACCAGGGAGGGGGTGGACACGGGACCGAGGGGTGGGGGTAGGGGACAATAGAAGAGCAGTTCTTATAGGAATAGCCAACCAACCAATAACTGCAAATTTGAGACCTAAGCCCCGAAAGGGAGCCCATGCGCCACTCTGCCTGGATGACCAGAAACTGGAAACTGAGGGCCTAGGGTAGAAAAAAAAATCAATAAAATGATTCCTAATGATATTTTGCTAAACTCATAGATCGGTGCCTAGCGCTATCACCATCAGAGAGGCATCTTCCAGGAGCTGAAGGGAGCAGATGCAGAGACCCATAGCCAAACACTAGGTGCAGAAAAAACCCAGATTGGAGATCTCCATCAGGTCCCTTCCCTCTGAGCTCAGGCAAACCCCATGGAAGAGGAGGAGGAAGACTTGTAGGAGCCAGAGAGGTCAGGGAACACGGCCCACAGAATCATATAAACAGAGCTTATAGGAGCTCACAGAGAGTGGAGCAGAAATCACGGGGAGAAGCCTGCATAGGGCTGTGCTCGGTCCTCTATGCTATGGTTGTTAGGTTGGTGGGTTTTCTTTGTTGTTGTTTGTTTTTTTTTGTTTTTGTTTTTGTTTTTTTGTTTTGTTTTGTTTTGTTTTCTTGTTTTGGTTTGGAGGGTGTTTGGTTGGTTGGTTGGTTGGTTTGATTTTTTTTGAGACAGGGTTTCCCTGCACAGCCCTGGCTGTTCTGGAATTCACTCTGTAGACTAGGCGACCTCGAACTCAGAAATTGACCTTCTTTTGCTTCCCGAGTACTGGGATTAAAAGCGCCTGCGCCGCCACCGCCTGGTTTAGCTTGGTGTTTTTGTGGGACTCCTAACAGCGGAACAGCGGAAGTGGCCACGTCTCTGACTATTTTGCCTATCTTTGGAACCCTTTTCCTCCTATTGGGTTACCTCTCTTAGCCATGATATAAGGGTTTGGGCCTAGTCTTAAAACTTGTTTTGCAGTGTTTGGCTGATAACCCCGGGGAGGCCTATTCTTTTCTAAAGGGAAACAGAGGAGCCATGGGTCTGGGGAGGAGTGGAGGGCAGAGGGGAAACTGGGAGGAGTGGAGGGAGGGGAAGCTGCGTTTGGGATGCATTGTATGCGAGAAGGAGAGAGAGAGAGAGAGAGAGAGAGAGAGAGAGAGAGAGAAAGCTTAAAAAAAAAAAAAAAAGGTTGTACCAGTACCACTGAAATCTTTAGCTGTGTGGAGAAGCTTATAGATCTCCCTCTCAAAATAATCGTACACACACACACAGTTAGGAAACATGGACACTTGTTTAAAATAAGGTTCACAAGATGTCTCATGGGGTAAAGCGCTTTCCGCACAAGCCTGGTGACCTCAGTTTGATTCCTGGACGGTGGAAAGTGGACTCTACGAAGCTGTCCTCTGAAAATATAATTTAACATTTTTAGTAAACTAAAAATAGAGAGCTAGAGAGATGGCTCAGCCGTTAAGAGCACCTGTTTTTCATCCAGGACCCAGGCTTAGCTCTCACCAGGCATGCGGCCCTCACAGCGGCCTGTAACTTCAGCCCCAGGAGCTGAGCTCCCTCCCTCTGTGGGCTCTGCACACACAGGATCCACAGACATAAATGCAGGCAAAACATCTATACACATAAAAATTAAGATGAACGTGGGGGGGGGCGTTGCATGCCTTTACTCCCAGCACTCAGGAGGCAGAGGCAGGTGGATCTCTGTGAGTTTGAGGCTAGAATGGCCTACAGAGCAAGTTCTAAGACAGCCAGGGCTGTTACACAGAGAAACTCTGTCTCAAAAAAATCCAAAACACTAATACTACTAATAATAGTAAAAATTGAAAATAATAAACTTATATTTATTATTTAGTATTATTTTAAAATACTAAAAATAGGGAAATAGTTTTAAGCATGTCATTAGTGATATACTAGTCAATAAATGTGCTTCCATATCTAGTACTTGGATACTCAGATCTAGGGGCAGGTCTAACAATAACTTTCCAAACAGCGAGGAGTATACACGAAATTTGGGATGTCAGCAACAACTAATTGCTTCAGGGTTTGTTTGGTTTTGGTTTTTCGAGACAGGGTTTCTCTGTATCTTTGGATCCTGTCCTGAAACTTGCTCTGTAGACCAGGCTGACCTCGAACACACAGAAATCTGCCTACCTCTTCCTCCCGAGTGGGATTAAAGACTTATGCCGCAGCCACCACCGCCTGGCTTGGGGATTCTGAACAGATGGGAAAGCAATCTATCAGAGGTTCCTAAAGGCCACGGTGCAAGTTTTTCCCATCAGATCCCTCAGACTCCTGAATGTCACCGGCAGAGCTGTGGTGCTCAGATCTCGGATTAAGGTTAAGCAGGAACTGGGGTTTTGGAGAAGCGTTGGTGCGGGTCTGCAGGCTGCAATAACCAACACAAAGGTAGCAGGAGGAAAAACAGAGGCGCCTCTGAGACTGGGCTGGACAAGGGGATGCACGCCCCTCCCCTCCCTTCCTGGTTCCAGCCTGGCGTTTCTGCAAGAAGCTAAAGCCCCGAGTGGCCCGAAGGAGCTGGCAATTGCCGGCATCTGCTCCCACGGTGTCCATCACCCACCATGCGGCCTCTAGTCCTGCTGTGGAGCTGCCTGGTGCTCCCAGGTGAGGGGGAATGGCGGTGACAGGGATGGAGGGGCAGGCAGGTGCGGACCTGAGCTCACTCTTCTGGTCTGCAGAGTCGCTCTTCCCCTCCACCCCCTGAGGAGGTGGGGTGGAGGAAGATACTTCTACATTTCATCCCAGCTAAGCCATCCTCAGTCTGGCAACCCTGGGCGCAGCACCTGGTGTTTTTGAGCTCAGACCCAAGGGTCTTCCTCACGCGTGTTTGTGGCCACTGCGTGGCTGTGCAGGTGTAGAAGGAGCTGAGCCTCTCGGGTCACAGAGATGCATCTACTTAGCTTGTCAACTCAGCTAACTTGGTTGGATTTCTACTAAACTTGCTTCTCTTTCTTTGCTTTCATTTTTTTCACACTTTACTTATTTTTAAATTTTAATTTATTATTGTTATCGTGTGTGCATGTATGTGCATGTGTGCGTGCGTGTGTGTGTGTGTGTGTGTGTGTGTGTGTGTGTGTAAGAGAAGGAAGGAGGGAGGGAGCATGTGTGTCGCACAGCATTCATGAGATCAGAGAACTTTTGGGATTTCTCCTTCCACTATGGGATCAGGGGATCAAACTCAGGACATCATGTTTTTACTGCAAGTGCTCTTACTGCTGTGTGTGTGTGTGTGTGTGTGTGTGTACATATATACATTTAAATATACTACACACAGTATATTTAGTTTAGTTAGTTCATTGCAAGAGGGCAAAGGGCTGAAGGGTAGCTGGAGCGCACCTACAGGGGAGCTTTCTTTGCTCTTATCATTTTTATCTTTTATTTTATTTTATTTTATTTTATTTCTATTTTATTTTATATTTTATTTTATTGCAGAAAAGGTAATGCTCAGAGGAGGGTGGAACCTAGGCACTGGAGCATGCTAAGTGAGTGCTCCACGGCTAAGCTGCATCCACAGCTCTTTCCATTGTTTCAGACAGACCAGACTTGAACTTGCCCTGATCCCAAGTAGCTGCGACCACAAGAGAGCCCACCATGCTGGGCTTCCTTAACCCATTAAGATCTAAAAATCAGGATGCATCTTATAGCTGTTCAGGGCATGTTTGTTCAGTTTTCCCTTAATAATACATAAATTAACTCAGACTGTTTTCTGAAGTCTTTATGACATGTATTTCTCATGTGTGTGTATGCACATATGAGCACGCATTAGCACACAAAAGGCACAGCACACGTGAGGAGGTCGCTGTACAACCTTTGTGGTCTGTCCTCTTCTTCTTGAGTCTTAGACTCACTTTGTTGGGCTTAGCAGCAAGTGTCTTTACCCCTTGAGCTTTCTGGCCAGCCTGGCTCATGTCTCTCAAATGCAATGAAGGAGAATGTTAATATCCTCTATAGACGAGAAAACTTAGATGGGTTAAGCAACTTGCCCGACATCACGAAGCTATGGAATGCCAAGGCTGGGACTCAAACTCCCAGCAATCTGAGTCTAGAACTTTGTCTATCCCTTTCCATTAATGGTGTTTAAGGAAGGAGTGACAGGTTTGTCTTAAGGTTCCCTAGAAGAAGAGAACCCTGGGGCTTTTTACGTCTGCCTCAGAAGATCTGGTGAGAAAGCCTCCCTTCCTCCCTGTGAAATGGGAGCTTCGGGTCTGGGCCCAGTACTTGGATCCATAGACATCCCGTCTCCATTCACGCTGTATTTTCAGGTTATGAAGCCCTGAAGGGCCCAAAGGAGGTCAGTGGATTTGAAGGTGACAGCGTGTCCTTGCAGTGCACCTACGAGAAGAAGGTGAGGGGACACAGGAAGTACTGGTGCCGAGAGGGTGGCCTCGTCCTGTCCCGCTGCTCCGACATTGTCTACTCAAGTCAGAACCAGGAGGTGGTACGGGGCCGGATGTCCATCCGAGACAGGCCCCGAGACCTCTCGATGACCGTGACCATGAGGGACCTTACCATGAAGGACTCGGGGAAGTACTGGTGCGGGATTGACAGACTGGGCTTCGATGAATCTTTTGAAGTGTCTCTCATTGTCTTTCCAGGTAACAAACGGGTCTCCCCACTGCCTGGGTGGGATGGGCAAGAGGACCTGAACCGTGGAAACAGTTTCCTGTTACAGAAGGGGGCAGTCTTGGTACCAACCTCATCAGGCCTTCTCTAGGACTTAGGAGTCAGTAGGGACACCTGCTGAGCACTGGAAACAACGCAGAGAAGCCTCAGTTGTCCCTTTGCTCTGGCAAGTCTCCCTGCTAGGATTTCATAGGTCACACCTGTCGCTCTTGGTCTGGATGTCTTGGGGGAGGCAGGATGAGGACAAGATGACCATCTCAGGTGACAAGGAAGGACCCACAGATTTCCTGTGTCACATATGCTCCCCAAACATTCTGAGCCCAGACTAACCATGGTCGCCTCCCAGGCCCAGCCTGCAGTGTTCCCTAAGCCATGAGCTGGCTTCACTGTGCTGATGGTCTCTGTATTTTTTTCCACCTTTTGTCTGGAGAACCCAGGGGAGGAAAGCTGGAGGGTGCCAGAGTACAGACAGTCCTGTCTCAGCCAGTGAGAGCTGGGTAGATCTCCGAACCACCACTTCCCACATGGGACACAGAGACACTCCAAGACACTCAGTGACTGACCTAAGGTCGAGACAGGAAGCAGAGCAGGCAGGATTCAAACCCAGATCACTGCAACCTATAACTCTGTTCAAAAGATGGGCCCAGGAGCTAGGACCCATCCTAAGCCCCAGTCTGTCCTCACAGCCCATTCTCTGTCACTCCTGAGTCTCTATGACAGTTCAGGGAAATAAAAGTAAACTAACCTAACGCTAAGAGCAGCAATAAAGCCTCACTGATGAGACCGGAGGGTGTGGCTCAGAGGGCCAGCTGTGGGTAAGACCCTGGACTGCATCCCTAATGCTGTAGCGGTAGAACGATACTCCTTGAATGGGTTCTGTTATTCAGAAGGTCCCAGTCTCTTCCAGCTCTTAACAGTGCACAGACATTTTTTTTTCCTAATTGTGAATAGCTCTCTTTATTTCTTTTATTTATTTGGCTTTTTAGATGATGTCTCACTGTGTAGCTCTGACTGCTCTGACTGGCCTAGAACTCACAGAGATCTACCTGTCTCTGCCTCCTGAGTGCTGGGACTAAGGTCCTGTGCCACCATGCCCAGGCTACTGCTCTCTAGTTTTGAGACTCTCTTGTGTCTGGTTCTTGCCCTGAGCTCTTGTCACCTCTCCGAGGTATGTGATCCATGCCTTTTCATCCTTTCATGACAGAGCTGGTTGGCTTCTGATGACAGCTCATCCTGCCAATGATGAGGGCTGTGTCAGTGGGTGCCCCCCACAGCCACTGGGGACACTGGGCTGTAATGTTTATAGGTTTCTCTGGTAGCAACACTCTCTCCTGCAAATCCAGTTTCTATCTGCCAAACATTTAACAACCAGCTCCCAGAATCCCTGCAAAGTTAACAAGCCAGAGGGAACTAGCAGCCTCCAGGGCCAATCTAGGCTGGACATCCCCACTATCACATCCTTTATTCCTCAAACTGGGCTGGGCATACCCACTATCACATCCTCTGTTTCTCATCTTCTGGAGGCCCTAGGCAAGGCCCAGAGACTTAGAAACACACAAAATAGAAAGCTGCTCTTGATTTACAGAAGATTTAGTCGACTACTTAGAAAAAATATGAATAAATGTCTGAGCGTTAGACTTGAGAGTGGAGAGCAATCCCAGAATGTCCGGGTTAGATGTGGTCAGAACAGACTCAGGGATGCTGACCCTTGAGGAATCCCAGCCCCGTGGGAGACCCTGCAAATCCATAGCTGTAGTCAGAGTGAGCACTAGCTCCCCAGGAGACAGACACGGGATATTGGGGTACACAAAAGAAGGGGAGAATTCCTCCACGTTACTGAGACTTAACTTCTAGAGGATGATGGAAGACAGGGCAGGGGTTGGGGGCAGAGGTGAGGGGGAGCTGTAGGCAGAGGTGTAAGAGAATGGTTTCACAGAGGAACAACCTGGCAAAGGCACAGCAGTAGAAAGGGTGACCCTGAACACAGGGCATCTTTGCGTGGCTCCGTGAGTTCCCCGTGGGGAAAGAGGTGACTTTGGTAGGGTGATCTGAAGTCAGAGCTTCAAACACACTAAGTAAGCAGGAGGCGTTTCAGCTCACAGCTAAAATGGGGAGCCACTGATGGCTTCCAAAACAAGAGGCAATAGGATCTGATGTGTGTTTTAGAAATACGGGTGTCCGTGCAAAGGCACGAAAGAAGCAGGTTGGGGCAAGGAATGCAGAAGACCTGATCCAATGAGAGACTAATATGGACAGCAGGTGGGGAAGACCTGGGATCCACTGGGATCTGCCAGTTTATGGCCTCCGATTGGCTCAGAGGAGACAACAATGGCGCCTCTACTGAGAATGAGGGGCCCACTGTGGCAATGTCTGTCTCTCCTGAGAGCAGCCTCTCCATTTCCTTTAGGAAGAAGGGACAGTCCCACCCCCACTGGCACCTGCTGCCCTACTTCCCCCAACCCCTCCTTCCAGCCTCTCACAGCTACAAGGATCCTTCAGCCCAAGGCAAAAGCCTGGCAGACTCAGCTCCCAGAACTGAGTGAGTCAATGGCTTTACTTCTCCTTCTCCATTTCAGAAAACATAGTGTGAGGGCCACCCAGCTGTTCCCAACAACCACAGAAGCCAGACTGGCTCAAAGGAACTAGGCACTGACTCAGGATTACCTGGGAAATGGCTACAGCTGACCCCAAAGCTCTTCCTCAGGATCTGGGGATGAGCCAGACATTGGCCCTGACCTCAGACCTGCCTTTGCCACCTTGCTCTGCACAGCTTTTGGGAGCTGAAGGAGGTTAGGCCTTATTGGGACATAGGGGTCAGGAGGTTCAGCGCTGGACAGATGGAGAAGTTGCTTTTTGGTCAGAGAAGAGGTGACCGTGGCCTGGACTAAGGGAAGGACCAGGATGTAGGACAGGGCCATGGGGGTAGGGTTTATGTCTACAAAACAGATTACACATAGATGTGCCTGGTCCAGGGTCTTCTTGCTCTAAGGGCCTCACTTAGGCCTCTGCTTGCCTCCTGGGAAGTGTTTTAGTTGAGAACACCCTGAGAGATTGGAAAGGTTCATGTTCAAATGTCAGTCTGGGTGGAGCTCAAGGGCCAGGGAAGGTGCTGAGGTATTGTTTTTGGACTTATAGCTTCTCCTGGTCTCCACCCGACAGTCGTCACAGTCAAGCAGGGGAAGACAGAGGTTAAGGCCCCTGTGTTCACGGAGGCGGCCCCAGCCTGGTCTTCAGGAACCTCCCAGGTTCTCCCAGGAACCTCTCCATATTCTGGGAGTGCTCCTCACACAGCAACCCCAGCCTGGTCTGCAGGAACCTCCCCTTCCCCAGGAACCTCTCCATATGCTGGGAGCTCTCCTCACACAGCGACCTCTCCTCATGCAGGGAGCTCCCGCCCAGTCATCTGGCCGCTCAGCATCGTACCAGAGGACTCCGAGGCCAGTCGTGTCCTCGAGTCCAGGTGAGTCCAGGGGACCCGAGGTGACCTTTCTTTCCTCCAGGCAGACACTTCCTCTGGTGGCGGCCACAGCCTGTGGTTCAGGAGGCAGATTTCGGACCTGAGTCCCCTCGCAGGGCTCATCTGGACACACAGAGCCATCTGAGATGAAGGGTCTACCTTGGACCCAAAAAGCATTTCTCTTCCGCTCAAGTCACCCCAGCTCAGGGGTTTCCCTGTATACTTTGCTCTGAGTCCTGTGCTGTATGAAAATATGAAAGCCCTTCACCAACTTTTTCTTGACACAGCTGGATCCCAGTCTGCAGCAAAGGATTCTGGGGGCTCTACCTACTCCCAGTTCCTGCCTTTCAGGTCACCACTAGCAGGTTCAGGCCAGGCTGAACATGTCCTGTAGGGATGGGGTACCCCGGGCAGAGCACACACGGAAGATCTCTAAAACACTGGCCCCTCATGCCTTCAGATCTCCCCGGGTGACAAAAACCTGACTGGACGCTGAATTAGAGCATTGTGTTGCCATGAACCGGTGCTGGTGACACCGCCTTCAGGCCAGTGAGTCTCCCCATTTCTTGCCGGATGTGGAGGAGCACAGCTGTAATTCCAATTACTTAGAGTTAGGGAGGCCACAAGTTCAAGGCCAGGCTGAGTAAGTTTGTGAGGCCTTGTTTAAAAATAAAAAGTCATGCTTATGAATTGTAGTTTAGCAGCAAATATAGCTAGGTACTATACTAAGGTTTGTTCCTAGTGGGAGGAGTATTTAATTTGAGATAAGTTCTCTCATGTAGCTCAGGCTGGCCTCCAGCTCCCTGTGTAGCCAAGGATGACCTAAACCTCCTGATCTTCCTGATCGTCTATGTCCCAAGTGCAAGGATCACCTGTCTTTGAACTCAGTATCTTTTTTTAAATTTATCCATTTATTTTTTATGTGCATTGATGTTTTGTCTGCATGTAAATACCTGTGTAAGGGTATCAGGAACTATAGTTACAGACAGTTGTGAGCCGCCATGTAGGTGCTGGGAATTGAACCTAGGACCTCTGGAAGAATGATCAGTGCTCTTAACCTCTGAGCCATCTCTCCAGCCCCTGAACTCAGTATCTTAAACATTCCAAGCCCTGCTTCATAGGAAATAAAATTGGTGATCTGAAAGGTTGTCTAGTCACTTACTCAAAGAGACACATCCCTGAAATGTCAAGACCAGGGTTCGAACTCAGCGAGCCTCGATTCGGGGCCTGAGTGCCCTGCCAGTCTTAGCCTGGCTGTGCTGGCCCTCAGGCTAGAAACTGGCTTTCTCAGCTTATGCATGGGTCTCAAGGACATAGATGGCTGATCTGGTAACCACCACCGGGCTCCTTTCATCTCTCCTCTAGTGTGTCCATCCCGATGGACCGCATGATGGCCCCAGTCTGGGTGCTCTTGTCCCTTCTGCTGGCTACAGGTCTGATTGCCTTTGGCAGCCACATGCTCCGGTGGAGAAAGAAAGGTAAGTGATTGACATGTGGGAGGAGGCTTGTGCAGACCTGTGAGGCCTCAGTGGGTGGGTCTGACAACCTTTTGTTCGCTGTGTGTATGGGCGCACCCCTTTAGTCCCAGAACTCAGAGGATCTCTGAGTTCAAGGTCAGCCTGGTCTACAGAGTGAGCTCCAGGACAGTCAGGGATACACAGAGGAACCCTGTCTCAAAAAAACCAAACCAAAACAAAACAACCTAGCTGTTTCCCTCTGAGGCGCCGTGAAGCAGCCAACACTGGGAAGAACAATTCAGCTGGGAAATGAGAGCTCTTTCATATGGAAGCTCAGGGAGCCAAGATGGAAGCATCTGCCTATAACCTCAGCGCGCGGAAGGTGGAGAAAGGGGGGGCAGAAGCTTAAGGACAGACTTGGACACATAATGAGTTCGATTCTAGCCTGGGCTGCGTGTCTAAACAAACAAATAGATGAGCAAGCAGGGCAAAAGAGCTAGCAAAGCTGATTTTAACAATAACAATTAAATTTCATTCAATTCGATATACCTGAAACATGACCAATTCAACACGGAACCAATGCTAAGATATTAAGGAAACCTGGACATTGTAGTGTATGCCTATCGTCTCAGCTACTCACACTTAGGCAGGAGGATCAGTTGAGTCCAGGAATTTGAAAGCAGCCTGAGCAATACAGCCAGACCCCCATCTTAAAACTTCAACAAAATTTGATGTTCCTACCCTCCCCGGTGGTTTTTTTTGGGGGGGGGAGGGGAGATTCCATGTTGAGCCTTTGGAAGTTTAGGTATGATTTCACATGACCACATTCCAGTGCTGGGTGACATGTGTGGCTTCTGGCTTCTGTACTGGATGATAGAGGTCAAGCAGCTTACATGATGTCATGGTATTAAGAGTGCCAGGAACCAGGCAAGCTCCTGCATCTCATCTCCATTAACCTATGGTGCTGTGGGGCACCCCATCTTATAGTGGAGGAAAGTGGACGGTTAGGCAGCTTGCCTTGGGTTTGTAGGCCTAGGAAATAGTAGAACCAGAAAGAGACCTACAGTGGCATCCCAGAGAAGGTGGGCCTGGGGCTTTCCTGGACCTGCTTCCGACCTTGTAAGAAATCTCAGCTTATTCGTGTCCCCAGGTTCCCTCATAGGAGACCAGAAGGGAACACACCGGGTGGGAATAGTCTCAACTCTGAAGCCACTTAGCTAACATCTTACCTCTGGAATTGTGGTTCCCCAGCAAACAGCAGCGCCCCCTCTGGTAGCCTGTTAGAAATGCAGAGTCTCAGAGCTCAATTCAGAACCTGTGTGTGAAGAAAATTAACCCTCAGGGTACCTGTGGTGGGCATCTGGGTCAAACAAAATTCATGTCACGTGGCTTCTGATGAGATACCTCACGTGAGGGCAGAACTGCTCACTCATGGCTAGGAACTGAAAAGAAGACAGGCCCACAGACCCCTTCAAAAAGATACCCCCTAGGTCCCACCCCTCAAGTTAAGGGCCAGGCCTCCCATAGGACAATTAACATCAAGTTGTAAATGTCCCCTATGCTTATTAAGGTTCAAAAGTGAAGAGAGTTTCCTCACCCACTTTCTAGTTCACATAGATCTCAAATGCCGACTCCTTCCTAAAAGGCTGAGCTAGACAGGGCGTCCTGCTTCAGGGTCTCCTAGCTCCCTCTGGGAATCCCCCATACACCCCATACAGAAGGTGACATGACCTTCTACATTCTGGGAATGACTCAAGGTCTTCCTGGCCTCAAAGTTCTTCTGGGTCTCTTTCAGCTTGGCTGACCATGAAGACACAGAGGAACGAGAAGGTCTACCTTCCAGCTTCGGTAAGGACCCAGGGAGCCAAAGTCTGAGATCAACCCCTTTGGGGCCTAGGTCAGACTTCCAGGCCCATCTCTGTGCCCACCCAGAGGCAGAGCTCGCTCTCAGCCTTGAAAGGATCTGTGGGCGTCTCCAGGCCGGCCCTTTAGGGTGTGAGATCCTTGGCATGCCCATCATTGACCTGGAATCAGGCAGGCTCACCAAGAACCAGGTAGGTATCGTTCCACCAAGCGGGTACCCTCCTCCCACGCCATTTAGAATCATGGTTCTTCAGCATTGGAGCAAGAAGGATCCCTGTGAATCCCGGGTCAGTTTGTATCTAAACTCTGATCCCATCTCACCTGTTAGCGATGTTGGAGATGGGATCTCCCAGACTCCGCTTCCAGCCCAATCTTCTAGGGCTCGGGCTGGGAACCCACAGCCCATCAGAGCGCAAGGGCCCCTCAAACATGACTCCATTGTTCTTCTACAAATGAAACCGAGGCCCAGAGTGTATGAAGGTCTGGCCCAAACCCACACAGCCGCACTCAGGTTTCTCAATTCTTTTAAAAGATTCATTTATTTTATTTTATGTGTATGAGTATTTTGCCTGCATGTATGTTTGTGTACCACATGTGTGCCTGGTGCCCATGGGGCCCAGAAGAGGGTCATTGGATCCCCTGAAACAGGAGTCGCAGACAATTGTGAGCCACCACGTGGGTACTGGGAACCAAACCCAGGTTCCCTATTAGAACAGCCAGTCCTCTTAACCACTAAGCCATCTCTCGAGCCCCAGATTTACCAATTCTTTAATCTCTCAAAATATTTTTTTCTGGTCCTCCACTGATTCTGAGGCCATGCTACTCAAGGCTTGGCCGGTCAAGGACTCAGCTGTAAGCAGGGAACCAGTGGGAGTGGGGACTCGGGAGGGGTACGTACAGAGGTCCCTGTGCACATCTTCCTGAGGAACCAAGCCGTCCAACTTCCCAGGCCAGTGCCTGCCCCCCGCCCCGTCCATTGAGAAACAAAAATCCTACCTTGCCTTGCCTGTTGCCCTGCCCCAAAATCCACGCAGTTACTTACTGAGGCATTTCAACTCTTATTCTTCCAAACATGGGGCCAGGAAAGGGGAACTGTCATCCCCTTCTTTCCTGGCGTCAGTAAAGACAAAAGACTCCAGGCAGATACCCAGGGGAGGGCTGAGTGAGGATGGGCTCTTCCTTGACTTAGGAAGCAGCTGTTGTTGTCTCAGGAAGTGGAACAAGGCCAAAAGTGGCTAAGGGGAGTGAGGCAAAAGTCATGGGAACAGAGGCCACCCTGGGCCACCTTCAGAGCTCAACCTTCTGGTTGTATGTTGTGGAGGTGGCTCATCAGGAGAGTGCTGGGGTTCAGAAAACCAGCCACGGTTGGGTGTGGGGGTGCCTCCTGCCCTGCCACTCTGGGTGGGGCTGATTCCAACCTGGGGCACCTGAGCTCCCCCTGCAGCCGTAGGAAGGAGCAAGAAAGAGCCCAGGGCAGTTTGAGCAGAAGGACACTGAGCAGAAGTGACCTTAGGTAGAAAGATAGGAGAGGGGACTAGACAAAACCACCCAAGGTCTATGAGGCTGGCTGCTGGGCCTTCCATCCTTCCACACTGAAGTGCAAGGGTTGGAAGAATTCAGTCGTATGTACTGCCCAAGGCTGGTCCCGCAGACTCCAGAGAAAGAACCATTTTTCTTCCCTAAGCATGGGATAGTCACAGACCAAATGCCTCCTGTGCTGTTTGTATCTGGTGAATCTTTGAGGCCCACGAAAACCAGCAGACAGCCTGCTTGTTCCCTCTGGTTACGAAGGAATAACACGATTAAAACAAAACAAGCCATTCCAGAAGTTTCTGATCACTGGGTGGGAAGATGCTGTCCGGAGACTGCGGGCGCAGCTCACTTGGTGGAGTGCTTGCCTGGCGTGCATGAAGCAAGCCAGCATAAGCTGGAGGTGGCGGTGCACTCCTGGGACGCCAGCCCTCAACAAGGTCATCCTTAGGATGACCATTGACCTTAGGAATTCAAAGCCATTTAGGAAGCCCGAGACCCTGCCTCAGAAAACAAACAAAGCATGGTGACGCATGCCTTTACTCCCAGTATCCGGGAGGCCACTGGGATCTCTGTGAGTTCAAGGCTAGCCTAGCCTACATAGCAAGTTCCAAGTCATCCAGGATTACTTGGCGAAGCCCTGTCTTTAAAATTAGTACTATCTGGATTGTGTGACCCTGAGAAGAAACATGTATTTGAGTTTCTAACTTGCCAAAGTAACACCCAGGTGTCGGAAGTCATATGGCAACCAGAACTATGTCCTTCCTCTTTAGCTCCCTGGGCTTAGCTCCAGACTGTCTATGCTGCTAAGAACAGGCTGTCCTGAGTTCTGACCAAGTTCCTCTTACAGCCACCAGGGAGCAACTGGGTGCCTGAAGATGCCATGATCAACCTCGCTGCGCCTCCCGAGTGTCTTAGCAACCCCGAGCCCTCCGCTGTGCCCTTCACAGAGACCCAGCACCTTGGCCAGGTGTGAACAGAGGGCTCTGGAATCCATGCTAACTGACACCACTGAGATAATGGGGACAAGGCGGGGAGGGCTCTTCCCCCAGCACCTCCTTCCCCAGAAGCCCCACTCCCACATCTGTCCGTCTAAACCTATCAAAACCATAATAAGACTAGGTCATTTTACCCAGGCTCCAGACTTCACAATCTCCTCTTCCAGGCTCAGAAGATTCTTTTTTTTATTATTTTATTTATTTATTTATTATGTATACAACATTCTGCCTTCATGTTTGCCCACACGCCAGAGGAGGGCTCCAGATCTCATTACAGATGGCTGTGAGCCACCATGTGGTTGCTGGGAATTGAACTCAGGACCTCTGGAAGAGCAGTCAGTGCTCTTAACCGCGGAGCCATCTCTCCAGCCCCTCAGAAAATTCTTTAATAGCATGTTGGGTGTCTGCTTAAAGAGCTCTCAGCTGAGCAGGGCATTGTGGTGCATGTCTGTAACCCTAACAGTTGGGAGTCTGTGGTCAGAGGGAGGAGCTGGGGGATTAGAAACCAGTTTACATGGTGAGACCTTGTCTCAGAAAAGCATGCGCTACAGACAAGAGATGAGGGGGCGGGGGCTCTGCTAGAGTGGAGACCTCACCACCGCTAGGCTCTGCTTTTCAACCTCACCATCTTCTCTCCAGGCTACAGAGGTAGAGGTAGCCCCTTCCCTGGACGCCAAGGAGGACGAGGATGCAATGGCAGACCCTCCCCTGCAGGTGTCCGCACAGGAACTGGCCTCTGAGTTCATCTCTGTGTAACCGCGGGATGGCCCGTGGTCAGGCTCCGTCAAGATGAACCGCTGAGTTTGCATGAATTCGCTGGCTCTGCTCACACTCCAGGGCTCCGTCCACCTTCCTCCAGGCTCCCTGCTTGTGTGGCCCAGAATGGTAACGAAGTGTATCTGTGGGACCCTGGAGCCCAGCGTGGACGTAACAATTCCGGCCAGAGGCCGTGACCTCCCCAGCATATTCTAATCTCTAGGAAGAGTGCGCAGCTGCGGACCTTCACCAGGGCCTGGCAAGGCTCAGTAGATGAGGGCTGAGTTTGTATGGGTTCCAGGAAATTTCCTGGGCATGGGTGCCCAGCAACCGTCCCTCCTCCCATCCCCTGTAAATCCCACCTACGCTTCCCTCCGATTCTCTTGCCGCAGGTGCTGTGGAGGAGACAACATACGTGTGTATAAAACATATGTGTTTATAAAACACCTGCATCCTGGCCCTTCAGAAAATCATTAAAGCAGAATTCCCGAGCCCCGCCCCAAACCATCTGGAGGGCAAGGCCCGGGTCTTCACCAGTGGCTCTGACAAGTGACCAGGATTCCTACACTTGAGCCTGATGAATCCTCAGCTTCCTCTAGCCTGGAGAGTCTTTCTTCCTTCTGTTTCGCTGTGGGGTCGTGCTCACATGCTCCCTACAGCTCTAGCCATAACACTATGGCCCCAGCAGGAGCTCCCTGATACTTCCCTGCTCAGGCACACGATGGATGTGATGGAGGCGGCCAGCCCAGGGGTCAGCTGTCTCTCCTTCTCCTTTCCCACGACCCTGTCTGTATTCCTAGCTTTGGAAGGACATTGGAGAAAGGTTCTCTGTCCAAAAGGGGCTACTACTTCATGGACTGGGAGGCTTGCGGAGGAGGAGGAGGAAAGCAGAGTGGGGTGGGGAGGGGAGGGGACAGGAAGAAACAAGACTCCAATTACTAGAGGATAATGCTAAATCCAGGCCAGCTGGATGAGGAAAAGACGGTCTGGCTCAACTCTTTGCTTCTCTTTAACTATTTTGTTTTGAAAATGACACGCTGAGAGGGAGGTACTCAACACGGAAAACATAGAAACACAGGGAGAAAGACAAAAAGCAGGGGGTGGGCAGTGTTTTTAAGGTCATCTATAACCTCACCAAGCCCTGTTGGCACCCTGACTGCACTTGGCTGGATCCCCCACCTTTCTCCTCCACACATTTTGCAGTTGCTCCTTTCACAGAGGGGTCACCCCACCCCACATTATCCCATCATAAGCATTCCTCCATGTCCTACAAACCTTGTACAATAAACTGTTTCTCAGCTGCATAGTACTTCAGCATACAGGTGTGCCTCAGTTTACTGAACCGGTTCTCTGTCACTAGCTGTGGATCTTTATGCAGGAGCAATAACTGCCATTGGAAATCTCTAGAAGGATCTGTGGGAACATGTGGTCCTGAGAAGGAGAATGTTTTCTTTTCTCTTTATCTCTCTCTTTCTATCTTTCTCTCTTGTTTTTTATTTTTTGAGACAGGATTTCTCTGTAGCTTTGGAATCTGTCCTGGAACTCACTCTGTAGACCAGGCTGGCCTCGAACTCACAGAGATCCACCTACCTCTGCCTCTGCCTCTGCCTCTGCCTCCCGAGTGCTGGTATTAAAGACATGCATCCCTCCTCTTCTAACCTCTCCTGGAGGGATGACTCAGTAGGTAAAGCATTTGTTGTGCAAGCAAGAGGACCCAAGTTCCAGATCCTTGTAACAAACTCACCGTGCGTCGGTGCCCCAGTGCTGGAGGGAAGATGGCAAAGCCCAAGAGCATGGTAGCCAGGACATCAACCTCTAGATTCCGTAAGAAGCCATCTCAAACCTAGAGGAAGGCAGCCGATGCAGACCTCTGGCCTGTGTGGGTCATGGGCAAGTGAAACCCCCTCACAGAGAGAAGCAGGGGGAGGGAGAGAGAGAGACAGAGAGAGACAGAGAGAGAGATAGACAGACAGAAAGAGACAGAGAGAGAAGGGGGAAGGGAGGGAGAAAGAGAAGGGGGAGGGAGAGAGAGAAGGGGGAAGGGAGAGAGGGAGAGACAGAGAGAAACAGACAGAGACAGAGAGACAGAGAGAGAGAAGAGACAGAGAGAGAGAGAGAAGGGGGAAGGGAGGGAGAGAAAGAGTCTGTACCCACAAGAACACAGGCCATGCAACTCCATTAATATATTAAAAACTGGGATAAGCAGTGCCCCCGGGCAGTTAGCAGAGAATACCCAAAAAGTTAATCCAAAGTGGACTTTCCAACCTGACAGAGTATCACACACCAGTAACCCCAGTGTTTAGGAGGTGAGGGAGAAGAATTCCAAGTTCAAGACTAGTCTGTGCTGCGTGATGAGACCCTACTTCAAGACACAACATAAATTAAAGCATGCTGGTGTTTAAGAGTGACTGATGGAAAAGAAACCTCTCTCTCTCTCTCTCTCTCTCTCTCTCTCTCTCTTTCTCTCTCTCTCTTTCTCTGTGTGTGTGTGTTATATAAACACAATTACTATGTATCAATTTTTTAAATTATATTTTTAAAAGCTATTAACAAAAAGTCAGGCATGGTGGTGGATGCCTTTAATCCTAGGAGGCAGAAGCAAGTGAATCTCTGTGAGTTCGAGGCCAGCCTGTTCTACAGAGTGAGTTCCAGGACAGTCAGGGTTATAGAAAGACCCTGTGTCCAAAAAAAAAAAAA